CCCAGAGAGGTTAAGTGGCTTGCCCACTCTCACACAGCCAGCCGATGAGTTTTATAAACCTTTCTGCTGGCCTCAGTGTCAGAACTGGGCTCACAAGTCATTTCCATGACGTGCTGGCTTTTATCTCTTCTAGACTTGGACACGTATTTCATATTGATTGATAAGATCTGAAATGGATTGATTTTGTCTTTCTCTCTGAGACCCCACGACCCAGCCCAGGAGGGGGGCCCAGCAGCAACAATGGTAACCAGGAGGCTTGAGGGTCTGACAAACAGGAGTACAGAGAGGTACCGTGAGCTGTGACAGGGACAGGGACGCGGGCTACCCTGTGGATGGCTTAGCCAGACCTGATAGGAACCTCCTACTCCTCTTTGCTCTGGCATCAAGCCCAGCCCTAGATCTGCTAGGAAAAGGCCCCACAGGTATGGGAGTCAGGGACTCAGGCCCTAGAGGCTCCATGGTAACTCAGGAAGTCCCTGCTTTATTTCAAACCCTGACAACAAGCCCAACAGAGCTCTCAGGGGACAGAGAGAAGGAACAGCCAGCCTTCACCTTCATCCCTGAGACCTGACGTAGGAGCCTCGTTTTGGTTTGAGAGCAAAAAGCTGTGTGACCTTGGGCAGGTCACTCACCTTCTCTGGGGTTTTGTCCTTCCATCTGGACTCTAAGTGTTGGCGGTGCCTTCCATGGCAACAGGGCAACAGCTGCCCTTCCTCTCTGGGTGACCTCACTCGTCCCTCTACCCCTGAGGGCAGGATGCAGGGTGAGGGAGTCCTGGCTGCCCAAGGAAGGGCTATAGCCCACCCCACTCCCAGTGCCTGTCTCAAATCTAGCATCCCAAGACACTTGAGGCTGCCGGGGGAGCCTCTGACATGGCGTCTGTTTCAGCTGTCCCTTTACAGAATGGACAGGGAGGAAGATGGGAGACACCTGTCACAAAGGGCCCTCTATCCCTGCCGGCTACAGAGACCATGGAGTCCACTATCCACAGGGACCAGATCACCCATTCTAGCTGTGTGGAGTGGGTCTGGGGTGGGAGGAGGCCCTGGGGCTGCTAGTCTGTGTGATCCTGGGCAGGTGACTCACCTTCTCTGGGCTTCCTTCTTCCTATCTGGAGTTTAAATCTTGTAGGCCTCAGACAAGTTGTGTGAGGGGGTGGAAGCCATTCCTAAGCCCTCACTCCACATTCTGGTGGCTCCTTGGCCTCCATGAGCTCACTTGGACAAACCCCTCAAGGTCTGACTGTCGATTTGCAATCACCTAGGCTCATCGGCGTGGGAGAGCTTCAGATAAAAGGATTAAGCTTTTGGAGTCCATCCAGGCCTAGAGGTGGGAGGCCATCATCCCCACCGACTCAGGAGACTGAGAAGGGAGGCCACAAGTTCAAGGCCAGGTGGGTAAAGCTGTCTCAAAATGAGCACTAAAGAGGGCTGTCCATGTAGCTTAGTGGCAGAACACTTGCCCAGTGTGTGTGTGAGGTCCTGGGTTCAAATCCCAGCATTGAAAAGCAAAACAAAGTCACCCACATAGAAGGGTGTAGCTGTTAGTGATCTAATATCTGTTAGAGATCTAATATCTCACAAGCAGGGGATGTACTCGACCAGGGGATGTACTCTCTGCCTCCATTTGGGGGGCTGTAGCCTGGAAGGTTTAAAAGGGAACCTCCCCTTTCCCTCTTCCCCTCCCCCCTCCCATGGGTAGGACTGGAAGCATCTGGGCAGCTGGATAAACAGTCCCCATGTGACAGGTCTGTCCTCTCCACTTGTCCCCAAGCCTGACATCTGCCCCCTTCCCTTCCCTTCCCTTCCCTTCCCTTCCCTTCCCTTCCTTTCCCTTCCCTTCCGCTGGCTGCCAAGCAGAGCAGGCAGACAGACAGGACACGCGCCCGTGTGCCGCCGGCGACTGATGAGCAGGCTGTGGCTGTGTGTGTGTGTTTGCACCGAACATGAGCTCTGTCTGGCACATCCCGAGGCGTGCCTACATCATGCTGGCTGTTCTGGGGTGTCAGTCCTGTCACACCCCATGGGCAGGATTAGAAGATGCTCTGGCAGGGTTGGGGTTGGGGTGAACTGCAGCTGGGGGCCGACGCACCCACCCCCTGCTCCCGCAGATATTAAGAATGGAGAGTAGTGTTTACATTTTCAAACAGTTGTAAAAAAACAGATAATACTTTATGAGCCATGAAAACGGCACAAAATTCAAATGTCGGTGGTGGCCACAAGTGTTTATCTCAGCCCAGTCACACTTGTCATTTGCATATACATCATTTGCATAATGCCTCATTTGCATAAGTCCCAGGCAAGCTCATGCTCCAGTGTGGCAGGGTGTGGGACCCCACGAGGTTAAAAAGTCTACCAGCTCCTTCATCAGGGCAAAACCAGACTCACATTTCCCCACCTGAGGACAGATCAGCTTCCAGAAACCTCCAGGGACTTTGGTACCAAGCAAATCTAGGCGGGAGTCATGTGCATTTTGGTGTATGTATGCAAGTTTCGGGTTTTATGGCTTTACACTGTTTTGTTCTGCTTTTGAGACAGGCCTCATCTTTCCCAGGCCAGCCCTGGAGCTCGCTGTGTAGCCAAGGACGACCTTTAACTTCTGGCCCTCCTGCATGCTGGGATGACCGACTGTACCGCCACGTTGCCTATGCCTGCTCTATCACCTGAGCAAAGTTCTCAGCCCTGGGCATTTGGATTTACCACCCCCTCTCCCATAGTGTGCCTGGGGTGCAGGTTCACAGTGGGGAAGGAGTTAGTCTGTGCAGCAGGCTCCGTTCTCTCTGCCCTGCTGGTGACATGTTGTGGAAACTGAGGCCTGGGGAGGTGAGACCCCCCCCCCCCGCCAGGTCCCCCAGTTGGTCAGAGAAGAAGAGAGGCCTGTGCGCATCTTGATTCTTTCCTGGAACTGGAACAGTGAGGGCCAGAGGTCTTTCCTAAGTAGCTCAGCTGGGTCTGTCTGTCTGTGGGGAGGCAGCCCACCCTAAGTTCCCCAGGTATCCTAGTCCCTGCCCCCCAGTTCCCAGACCCTTCTCCTTGCTGGGGGTCTTGGCAGGCACCCAGAAGCCTAGTCCTGTTTTCAGCTCACAGGCCAGGTATCGCTTGAAGAAAGAGTTTGGGTGGAAGTTGGAGACCAGACCACAGAAAGATGCTGTGGAGAGTAAGGGAATGGATTCAGCCTGGGCTTGGGGATTTGGGAGCTGAAGTGGGGGTGATCAAACTTGAAGGAAGCCCCAGGGGAGGGCCACAGGCAAAGATACAAATTTGGGGGACCCAGGGGAGCCTGTTTCTGCTTCTCAGAACCCCCAACCTCCAAGTTAAGTCCTGGAAAATCTCTATAGCCAACACTGTGAGGTTACAGAAAGTTAAGCCAAGGAGCAGACGCCTTTTCTTCACAGATCTCACCCCATCCTTTCCTCCTTAGAAGGAGCCTAGGATAAACATCCGGTTCTCAGGGTCAAATCCAAAGTCCTTCTCATCATCCAGGCCTACATCTGCACATCTGGAGCCAGTTTCTCTGCCTCCCAAACTCATTCCTCCTCACCCCAGTTGTCCTTTTTCTGGGAGCACCACGTCTTCCCAAGTATCCACATAACTCTGTCTCACAGGCTCCTACCTCCTGCTTGCTCCTGGACCACATAGGGATGGTTACTAGTGAGGGTCTTTTCCACACAGCAGTGTAGACCACAGTAGGAGGTCAATAAACATCTTTATGAGAAGCAGGACCATAGCCCATGACTGAAGCTATGGAGACAGATATAAGGAAATGTCACATTGATGGGATGCTGGAGATGCGTCCCCTGGGTGTCTGGATTTCTGTAGGTGTCACTCAGCCCTGGACCCTCTGGACCCACACCATACCCTGCCTGGTCTTTCTCTTGAGTGTGAAGTGTGACCACACGCTGACGTATTTTTAACGAACGTGAGTTGAAATAGCTACAGGTGGTTAGTGGCCTCCAGTCTGGGCAGGGAGCTGAAGGGAGGAGGAAGATTCTGTTGTCCCCAAGCTAGTTGCCTGCAGCAGTCACCTGGGGAAGTACTGAGGCCTCCCAAGCCCCCCATCACTGCCCCTCGAGGTCAAGTTCCCATAAGGCAAGGCCTCATTGCGCCTTGGCTGTCTTGTGTGTCTCAGAGGCCTCCCAGTGATGCGGCAGAAACTCTCCATAGAGGTGACAAATCCCCGGAAGAGGAGAGAGGGCCTGCGAGTGAGGCCATCTTTAACGTCACTGTTACTATTGTACTACAAATATGGCCACCAAGACCACCGTCAGCAGCCACCACCCACACTGTGGGGCTACCAAGATGGTCAGCAACACCCCACCCCTCCACACACACTCCTGCATCACAGGCCACTCCTAACATTGCTCCCAGCAGGACCAGCGTCCCTTCATCACCAAGCCTCCATTGTGCTCTCCTCCATCACGACCACACCCCCACTGTGGACACTACTACCCCCAGGCGTAACCTGGACCACTACCCCCCCCCCCCAGCACCTGCAGCCAGTTAACCATGCCGGTCCTGGACTCCCAGCTATATGGATTTTAATCCCAGCTCTGAGTACATTTCATTCAGCTTCTGGGAGACTCAGTTTCTTTGCCTGTAAAATGGCTCCACTAGGAATCAGAAAGACTTTCTGTCTGGGATTGGTGGTGAGAAACCAAACAACCCCTGAGTTTGATAAAGGGGCGTGTTTAAGCACTGAGAGGCTCAATGCTGGGAGGGGGGGGACTCACTTTAAAAAAAAATCTTTCTGTCGCTCTGAGAGACAGATCTACCCACTTTGCAAGCGAAGAAACTGAGGTTCACTTTCCCTCAAACTAATACGAGGTGGGGATGAAACCAAAGTGTTAACCTGGACCCAGTCACATTCTCCCTTTTCCCAGTTGAGGGAGAAGGGGTAAAAGCATAATTGTCAGACAGGATCTTCAGACCCTCAAGCCCTCCTTTCAGGCATGCTGGGAGGTGGATTGTTATATCCCCGCACCTCTTGTGAGTTCTACTCACCTGTATCTTGCCGGAACTGATGCATGGATTGTAGGTCGATGATGTAGGGCACCAGCTGGGCGTCCACCTGGCCCAGGACCACGGATCCCCGGGCATCCTCCTTAAGAACATTCTCGATGTGGTGGCACACGGTGGCCGTGTAGGGTCGCCAGCGGCTGTGTTCATTGAGCCACTCCCACACCACCACCCGGGCCACGTTCTGGGGCGGGAAGCCCAGCCCGTTCACCGGCACCATCACACCTTGGCCTGGCCGTGACATGGCCGCTGCCGCCTGCGGGGCCAGGTCCCACTGTTGCTGGCCCAGCTCCTCCTGGGCCTGGGAGCACCGGGGAAGAGTCGTCCTCTCTCTCCAGGTCGGGCGGCGAGGAGTGTGGCCTCTTTTCTAGTTGGGCTCTCCAAGGCCTAGAGGCCTGGGTTAGGGGGATGGGTGGCCATCCAGACGCAGCAGCAAGGACCCCTTCCCGCAGAGCGCAGCTGTTGCACACAGGGCTGCGCTCAAGGCAATGTCTGTCCTAGGTGGGGGATGTGCTCTTAGTTCCTGGGTCCCCTCGGTGCAGGTGCGGGAGTGAGGCGCTTGCCCCCTCTAGGTCCGGCCTTTCCCCGCTTTTCTCTGGTTGCTTCTGTCCGCCACGCAGGGCCTTGTCACCCGGGAGGCTTTGGCCCTGGCCTGCTGCTCCCTGCGCGCTCAGCTCTGCGTCCCAGACCCCGTGTCTCGCTCCTGGGTGACTTGGTTCCGCCCCTCCCGACGGCTCCACTGTAGGGGCTCCCTTCACCCCTGCACCTCTGTCCCCTCTCCTGGCCGGCCCCGAGTGGTCGCAGATCTCTCAGGGAAGGGGGCGGAGCGCAGGGATCGCTGCTCTGGAGCTGAGGCTGGCGGACCCCCGGGAGGGGCGGGGGCCGTGGGCACGCCCCACCCCACTGGTGTTCGCGACCTGCAGGGGCGACAAGAAGGGAGAGGGCCCTTTAAGAAAAGAGCAGCCCCCTCCCCCTCCCGGGAGCGGCGGTGGAGAACAATGGGGTGCCGGTGGGGGTGCGGCAGGGGGGCTCGGGGGTCCACGCCCTGCGGTCCTTGGGGTGCCTGGAGAAGAGCAGGCACGGGACCCTAGACTGTTACCCGCAGTGACCCGTGCTCGGCTGGAGCGCGTCCCCCGCCTCGAGCGACGCGCTTCTGGGGCTGCGGTGTGGGATGCGGGGACGCGGGATGTGGGGATGCAGGATGCTGGGTTGCATGACGCGGGGACGCAAGATGTGGGGATGTAGGATGCGGGATGAGGGATGCGGAATGAAGGATGAAGGATGCAGGGATTCGAGTTCAAGATGAGGGATGTCGAGACGAATGGAGGGTGCCCGGTGCAGCCCGACCCTCAGGGTCTCCTCAGGGGTCGCGTCCCCAGAGGCAGAAGAGCTGCAGGTCTCTGTCCCCTCCCGGTGGCATCTACCCGCGGAACCGCCTGAACCAGGAATGTGGGGTCCCTGCGCTGCTCGCTCACCGTGATCTCCCCGCGCTGGTTCCTTCCCCGCTAACTCCCAGGAGGGAGGAAGGGAGGGAGGGAGGGGACCGTTCGGCCTCCACCCCAGCCCAGACCTCGCCTGCCGAAGACAGACCGACAGACCGACAGAAGGATGCAGCAGCCCTGGCTCGCAGACGCGTCGGACGCGTCGCCGGGATCCCGCGGGTGGAGGCGGCCTCGGGGCGGGGCGGGTGGAGGAAGGGGAGGAGACCGACCCGCCCAGCCGCTGTGACACGGGAGTCACCGAGTCCCCGGCTGGGCCCGACTCGAGGCGTCGGATCGAGGCAGGGAGAAGGAACGGGGTGTGTGTTGAGGGGTCCCGGTCCCAATCTATCATCTTTGCTATTAGCAGCTAGACCGAGCCTGGTACATAATAGGCGCTCAATACATGCTTGAATGAATGAATCTGAATTGGAGACAGTCTAAGGCCTTCTGGGGTGGATAGAGAACGGGCCCAGAAGGCCCATTTCAGGGACGAATGGAATCCTGGAGCCTGGAGTGCTCAGAAGAAGGCCCACATAGGATGAAAATCAAGAGTACTGACTGCTCTTCCAGAGGACCTGGGTTCAATTCCCAGCACCCACATGGCAGCTCACAACTGTCTGTAACTCCAGTACCAGGGGATCTGACACCCTCACACAGACATACATGCAAAACACCAATGCACAGAAAATAAAAAAGTTACAGCATTTAAAAAAATAAATAAAGAGCTAGGCGGTGGTACATGCTTTTAATTTCAGCATTTGAGAGGCAGAGGCAGGTGGATCCCTGAGTCTGAGGCCAGCCTGGTCTACAAAGCAATTTCCAGGACAGCCAGGGCTATACAGAGAAACCCTGTCTCAAAAAAAAAAAAAAAAAAAAAAAAAAGAAAGAAAGGAAAGAAAATCAAGTCCCATATCACTGGAGTCTGAACAGTAACTACACTTGCACCCAGCCCTAGTTTGGTTGCAGGACCCAGTTAACCAAACCATGAAGCTTTTTCTGACAGCCACTGGCTCTTCCAGGCCAGAGGCATGGGGATGGCATCTGTCTGTCACTGGGAACAACGGACCAGGCCTGGAGGAAGATACTTTAGAGGAAGGGAAGAGGAAAGGAGGGTTTCAAACTGAGACCCTTGCAGTCACCTGCAAACAATAGGTGTTCCATAAATGCAGGGTGTGCACCTAGGATAGCAGTTCAAGTGTTAATGGACACTAAGATGAACTTCTGTCCTCTGGCAAGCTGGACACAGCAGTTGGGGACACACACAAGATACTGAAGAGCCTGTGGTGTTTAGATTGGGGAAGAAAAGGGCCTGGCTGCCCAGGCTGTCTAGGATTGGGAACTGTGATATAGGCAGCTGAGCAGGGTTAATGGGTCTGTTTGGGAGCCAGCCTAGAGTGGCCCACGCTTGCTCCTCTGCCTCCCTGAGCTGAGGGCCAAGGTCAAGAGTGAAACTGAGTCGGGGCGGGGGGGGGGGGGGGTGTCAGGGAGTCTGTACCTTGAGTGGTCCCGACTTGTTTGGGGCCATCCACAGTTCTGTTTAAAAAACATTTGTCCTGGTCTGGAGCGGTAGCTCAGTGGACCAAGGCACTTGCTGCCAAACCTGATCGCCTGAGTTCGATCCCTGGGGCCATTTGGGATGGCAGGGAGGTCAGGAGCCGGGAGCACGGGTCTGTCTTGAAGATGATGGGGCAGAGGGAAAGAAGGAAGCAGGCTGGTGGGAGGTGAGAGGAAGAAAGAGAAACGTACACTCCTGGGTCCCCAGAGGGGGCCAGACCCAGGGTCGGCTTCCTCAGTTACCCCTGGGATTGTATGACCCAAGACCCAGAAGTTTTACCAAGCCAGTGCTGGGCATGAGATGCTCGAAGAAAGGGGATGTTTTGAATACATTCTGTGAACCGGAGACTCTGTAAACCCGGCCGGTATTGTAGCAGGCCTTACACACCTCAGGACCTGGCTATCAAGCCGTGGATCCAAGTACACAAGGTACATAGGTACATGGGTTTTGATGGGTGTTCCCACTTCTTCATGAACCCCACTCTCTCTGCTCCATCATGGAGGCTGGACGACCCCTCACTATCTCTCCCTTTGGATAGGGATCTGCTGGCTGCTGGGTAAGGCGGGAGTTCTGGTTCTGGGTCGTTTTGTCCATCACAGAGGGAAAGGACTCGCCGAAAGAACCAGGCAGACAGTTAATGTGACGTAAGTGTGCTTGAAGTTTGTCGTCCCTGAAAGAGTTGGTCCATCTGTGGAACAGGGAGGCTGGCCAAGGGAAAGACAGAGGTCTACCCACCTGCTGGACCCGGGTCCTTCGCCGCTCTAGAAACTGCAGGGGCAGGTGCTGGGACAAAATAGGCGTTGGTGCAGAGCGCCCTCTGGTGGCCAGTTACTTCCTTGTTCTCCGGCCGGCCACCTTTTTAGGTAATATATTTAAATGTTTCTTACTGTGGCCAAAACTGGGAACGTAAGATTTCCCCATCTCAGAGTTTACAGTTGATCAGCACCAAGTATGTTTCTGTTATGCAAATGACCGCACATACAGGGGCTTCATCTTGCCAATGTGAAGCTCAGTCCCCGGACTCTTGAGTAGTGCTCCAGTATCTGTGCTCCCCATTTATTTATCCAATCACCCCACTTGGGGCATGTACCAAGAGCACGTGGTAAAGTGTCTCTTTGAGCCCTTGCTTTCGGTTCCTCTGGCTATGTCCGTTGTCAGTACAGAAGGATCCAAAATGACCCGCCAATGGCACTGAGCGCTTCCCTGAGGGAGTTCCCAAGTAAGAGCTGTCTTGAGTGTGGACTGCACCATCCTGTATGCTGGTGCCTGGGACAGCATGAGGGGGAAGAAGGAACTGTGGAAGCGCCTGCCATGTCCCCTCCGGCGCGTCCCACGATTTGAGGCTCTTCTCTGTTGTACCCTGTCCTCCTTGAGATGGATGGAAGCCGTGAGTCGGTCCACTCCTTCCTCCCTCAGGTTGTGTCTGTCAATTATTTTGTCCCAGTGATGGGAAAAGAGAACAAATGCTAGAGACTAAGCCGTGCTCCCCCCAAATTCGTAAGCTGAGGCTTGTCCCGCAATGCATCGGGGATGCGGTTCAAACACAGCAGATGTGACAGGCGCTGGATGCTGAAGCCTCTCTCTCTCTCTCTACTTCTCCCTCTTCCCTCATTTTCTCTCTTCTTTCCTTCTCCCTCTTTCCCTTCCTCCTTCCCTCCCTCCCTCCCTCCTCCTCTCTCCCCCCCTCTCCCTCTTTCTCTCTCCCCCTCTCTCTCACTTCCTCTGTCCCTCTCTGTCTCTCTGACTCTTGGTCTCTCTGTCTCTCCCTGTGCTTTTCTCTGTCTCTCTGCTTCTGTCTCTTAGTTTCTCTGTCTCTGTCTCTCTCTCTCTCGGTCTCTCTGTATCTCTCTCTGTTTCTCTCTGTCTCTGGATCTCTCTGTTTCTGTCTCTTGGTCTCTGTCTGTCTGTCCCTCTCTCTCTCCAAGCTACATGACCATGTACACATAATTTTTCCTCTTTGGAAACATCTGAGATCAGATCTACACAGGGTATCTACTTACCAAGAAGCATTCTGGTTCTATGTCCTATCATAAGGGAGCCCTGGTGACCACCACAGTTGGACAGGACATATGGTCATGTGTCTGCTCCCTGCAGCCTCACTCACAGTTGGCTGAAGGGCCCAGAAGAGCTGCTAGACACAGCACCAGAAGAAAGAAAACTCCCCAGGTCACATGGGAGGCCCAGCTGGTGCATGGACTTATGGAAGATAATTTCCAGTTTCTGTCCCTATCCCCTCTGGCTATAGGGATTTCTCATTGCAGTTTGAATTGATAAAGCAGGTAAATTTCCTGAGGTTCTGGGACTCAAATTTTTAAAAATTATTTATTTATTTTTATTTTCTGTGCATTGGTGTTCTGGCCGCACGTATGCCTGTGTGAGGGCGTCAGATCCCCTAGAACTGGAGTTATAGACAGGTGTGAGCCGCCATGTGGGTGCTGGGAATTGAACCTGTGCCCCCTGGAAGATCATCCAGTGCTCTTAACTGGAGCTATCTTTCCAGCCTCGGGATACAAATTTTTAAATTAAATCTTATTTGTGTGTTGGGTTATGTGTTTCCCAGCATATGTGTTTAGGGCAAAGGGCAATTTCCGGGATCAGTTCTGTCTACCATGTAGGTTCCTTGGGCTTGGGCACAATCCCTGACCTAGGACTCTTAATGGGGAGCCCTGGGGAGGCCAGCAGCCCCTCTGACTCAATGACGATACAGAGAAAGATGAGTGTATGATGCTCTCCCTGCCGGTCCAGCCATTGGAGGACATGTAACCCATTGGTGGCTGGGACACAGCCCGAGGGAGGAAGGTGTAGGCTGGCTCATGGCTTCTGAGGCTTCCATCCGTCATGAGATCAGAGATTTTCCTCCTCTTATGAAAGACAAGGGCCAGTTAAAATTCTCTTTACTCTTTCTCCCTTCCTGCTCTGGACACTTTGTTTGGGACTGTGGTTTCCAGCACCCTGGCAGCCATCTTGTGACGCGGAGGCGATAACGCTAAAGCCAAAATGTGATCTGCCTTTGATGGGAGAGCTGAAGATGTTGGTGGCTGGTCTGGTTAGTTTTAGGTGCCAGCTTGGCTAGGCAATGGTGCCCATATGTTCGGTCAAACACCCAGCCATCTACATGGTGACAGCATTGTTAAGATTTGGGTGAGTAGGTAGACAAAAGGCTAACCCTATGTCAAGTGGGTGAGCCTCATCCAATTAGTTGGCTGTCTCAAGAGAAAAAGACCGAAGTCCCTAGAGGAAGAAAGAATTCTGAGAGTGACAGTCATCAGTTCTTCCCTGAGTTCCTGACTGCCCTGTGGACCTTAGCCTGGCCCCTCTCCATGGTTATAGGAATTCATTGGGAGGGAGGAAGAGAGGGAGGGAGGGAGGGAGGGAGGGAGGGAGGGAGAGAAGATGGGGTGGGGGACAAGGGGAGAGCATGGCCAGCTCTGGGTCACATGTCCCCCAGTGGGTGGACGTCTTATCACAGGGGAGACCAGCCTCTGGATTCAGGTGGAGTTTGGAGAGCTGCAGGGGTGGGGGCAATAGTGAGGGTGGGACAGGGTTGATGCTGCTAGAGATTCTGGGAGGAAAGCAATGGCTGATGGAATGTGGTTCAGACAACCACAGAGGAAGCA